ACTCTCACTCTCTCACACACACACACACACACACACACACACACACACACACACCATCAAAGGTTTGGGGTCTGTAGGAATTTGTAATTTATTTTTAAAAAGTCTAGACAAGCTCGCCAAGGCTGCATTTATTTGCTCAAAAATACAGGAAAAACTTAAAAATGTACAGGAAAATGTTAAAATAACTGTTTTCTTTTTTAATACATATTAAAATGTAATTAACTCCTGTGATGCAAAGCTGAATTTTCAGCATCATTACTCCAGTGTTCAGTGTCACACGATCCTTCAGAAATCATTCTAATATGCTGATTTGCTGTTCAAGAAACATTTCTCATCAATGTTGAATACAGTTTCTTCAATGAATAGAAAGTTCAAAAGAACAGCATTTATTTGAAACAGAATTCTTCTGCACCATAAATGTCTTGACTGTCATAGAAGTACTCATTTCTTTTTAAATAAATATCACCCTTAAAATTTTGTATATATACTTAGCCTTGACATTTATATTTCATTTTGCAGGCATAATGCCATATAGGGGCTAGTTGTCACACAGGGAAGTTGTCTCAAGGACTGTATCTCAGTAACTATAAGACGGACTGTATAGTCAGCATTAAAAATAAATCTGCCCTGAGAAGTGGGTAGCAGGATACTGAAGATAAGAGTAAAATGTGTGGCAACTATCCCTTGTCTTCTCTTTTTATTTTAAAAATAGATGTACACTGGCATATCACCTGAGTCAGGCAAAGACTAGAGAGATATATGTAGGCTATTGATCTCACCGACACATAGGCAGAAGCATCTGTATTGTTGAGTCTGAGCTGAAGCGGCTTGTCTCTGCTGAACACGGCCGTGACTCTCTTGGACCAGATTGAAGGGATGTAGTCCCTGTACTGAAGCTGCCAGTAGAAAGAAAAGATCCTGTGCAGGTCCAGAGCCAAACAACTACAGTCAAACACTATTACTCCAAGCTCCTTCAGCTGAAAGAAATAACAGGAAGAAGAATCACAACATCTCGATATGAAATATGAAAAGTTTTACTTGAAAAATGTGCTTGTGCTATATTTCTTCAAACTAAGGTGGCGGTCACACTAGATCTTGCACACAAAATTTCTAGATACAGTAACAGTCATAATAGGACATCACGCTCTACAGTGTCTTTTTAAAGTGCCCCTATTATGGATTTTTGAAAATTACCTTTCATGCAGTGTGTAACGTAGCTTGAAAAAAAAAAAAAAAACCAGGAACAAGAATCACAATTTCTCAATATGAAATGTGAAATGTGAAAAATTTTACTTGAAAAATACGTTATCTAATTTGGTCACGGATTAATTCATGGTACAAATTTGCAGGGCAGAGTTCATCAGACTTGAAATTTGGAATGCAGTGAAATTAGAACAGGCTTTCTCTCTCGCATGTGTATGAATGGAAGTCAATTGAACAAAGAATCTACTGTGACCGGCCCTTAAATGCTCCCAGGTTTCATTCATTTTGTTAAGTTTTACAATAACTCTCATATATCATCCAAGTACATTTCGAGGCCACTGTAAATTGTCGAAATTCTTTACCTTGGAAAGCGCTTTCCAGTTCATGCCAGCACTGCCAATGTAAATGTGCTTCCTGTCCACCACCCAAAAGGAGGAAAGCAGTCTTCCTCTGGTGAGGGCTGTCATGTTGACGTAGTGCACTTCTGCATCTGGGAGAGACCGAACCATGTGGGCAATGGTTGGGGAACTGTTAAGCGCTCAACCTTGACGAGAGATCTGTCTGTCATTCAACTCTGGCATAAACAATATTGCACATTCGTGATGTTTTGACCTTGTGTGTAGCCTTGAGGGACTGGAGCAGCGTAAAGCCCAAAGAGTTATGTCAGTTTATGACAGACGGATGCCTGTGTGTGTGATCTTACACTGTTTGCCTCGAGAGAACTGCTTTAGTACTGTATTCAGCACCTCAGCAGACACAAATCAATGCATCTCTTAACATTAACAAGAGAGATTTGAGTTCACTTACAGCGGTCAGACATGCTCTTCAGCTCAATGGAGTTGGGCTGGTCACTAACAATCTTTAATCTGACACCTCGAGACTTCAGGCTTAACAATTTCTGAAACAAATACTGACCCTAGAAAATAGAAAAAGATTGTAGAATTTTAATTCCCTTTGCAATATATGCCAGTGGCAATAAATCAATTTTAGATGTAGAATTTATCAGTACATAATCATAAATAGGAAGTAGGTATGAACAAAATGACATCTGTCATGACAACTCTCGGAGAGTTCAGCATGGTAATATACATGGCAATGTTAATGTATTTGGTCTTGGTGGAATAGATCTGCTACTGCTGCTGCGGCAGAGCAAGTACCAAGATTTGCTACTGCTAATACATCCACATACATGCTGCTGTGACCATGTAGGAAATACTGCTGCTGCAAATATAACATACATAACCCCGTGTATAACATACATGACATTGCCCTGTAGAAGATCTATACAGGTGGAGCTAGGGGAGGTGGAGGGTTTCTGCAACTGCTACAGCAAGCACTAGCCAATTAGTTGAATGTTGAGCAGCAAGCTCATTGGCTGATGATGCAAAAAGAAACCAATCAGTTACACCATGCCAGTAATGATGTGATTATATCAGATTATATCTATCGGCCTTTGCCATCTAGGGTTTAATGACAGAACGTTGTTTAATGCAGAATATCAATAATAATAAAAAAAAGAATCACTTAAAGTGTTGACAATGCATATTTGCAGGGTAACAATATGCTAACTAACCTGATAGGAAGAATAAAGCTGTGACCCCTGATCGGCGGAGGTCAGAGCCCAGTATGGCGACACTATCTCAACTGACAGTTTTGCTTGGTCCAAAAGGTGGTTGAGACCCATGGCAAGTGGGTGATGGGCTGAACTATTGGGGTTGAACGACAGCTCTCCTGGGACGTTCTCCACAAGGACAATGCTAAGAGCACATTGATGTAAGTCAGGAAATGTTAGTTTGTGGAATATGTTCATAGTTTTATGTACGACATACAGTATATATTGAAGTCACCATGAAATCTAAAGTGAACCACATATGATTCAATGTATGATTCACTGTTGCATATTATTCTTAAAAACTGTTGGGCAAGCAGTTAAGTCTTAAATAATTTTTATTTATTTTTTACTCGTTTACATTATGCTACAATTATTCATTTAGCAGACATGTTGCCTTATGAATTCCTTTCTATATAGAACAAGAAAGGTGAAACTGGCCACTCGTTTTAATATACAGTACAGAAAATGAATGCGGACTATGGAAAGTGAGTGTTCCAAAATGATTGTCCTCACAACAATGCAATTTATTTAAAGTCCTGTGTGAGGATCAGACTGAATTTTAATTGATTAAATGACTGAATTAATCATCTCAAATTGGGATGTTCATGAGGGAATTATTCCTTTAAGTCAGATCTTTTCTTTCAATCAGTCACTTCAGTTCTGAATGATTTGTTAATGAGTTCAGCTCTCTGACAGAATGAATGAGCAGTTAACAGCTCACTAGAAGAAACTTATTTTTGATTAAATTTCAGTCTGTTCTTCACAAAAAGCTACGGTATTGTATGGCTTCAGGAACACAGCAATGATAATTTTATGAAACATTGTGCAATTTTTTTGAAGTATGAAAGCTCCAGTCCCCATTTATTGTAATTTGATTAAAAATAAATAAAAATTGAGTTGGCCTGTGTTATTCAGAATTTTCTTTTTGTTCAACAAAAAAAGTCATTTAGCTTGGATGAGATAATGACACAACTCTCATTTTTCAGTGAACTATCCTTTTAAATCAGCCATGACGTCTAAAACTATTCCTAATCAAGATGATACACTGCCAAGATACAATTAACAAGCTCATGTTGGCTAAAGGTAAAAAAACAGAGCTGAATATGCAGTGCTCCCTGGTGTACTTTTTGGTTCGTTATACTGTATACAATATGTACTGTAGAAAATATCATTACCAGGGTATGTCGGCTTCTTACCGACAATTTTTGCTGCAGTTTTCCTCAGTGACACCATCCTCATCCTCTCCCCAGACATCCACAGCAGAGAAAATCAGAGCCAGCAGGACAGCAAAGCAGCAAACCAGTGCAAACACAGCAATACATTTCTGCTGGGACTGCATAAGACATACAAAGAAAGCTCTGCCAATTACATATACCAGGTTTTATAGATAACTTTGTCTTGACTTATTTGTTTAAATTATTAATATAGGGTTTCTGACTTTGGTGACAGTTTAGATTTGCAAGGTCAAGATTTATTGTATTCAAAATTGTACTTCTCTGCTCTGGAATCTTTTCCTAGCTATAATTTAATTTTACGACGCAGGACAGCAAAGCAGCAAACCAGTGCAAACACAGCAATACATTTCTGCTGGGACTGCATAAGACATACAAAGAAAGCTCTGCCAATTACATATACCAGGTTTTATAGATAACTTTGTCTTGACTTATTTGTTTAAATGATTAATATAGGGTTTCTGACTTTGGTGACAGTTTAGATTTGCAGGGTCAAGATTTATTGTATTCAAAATTGTACTTCTCTGCTCCGGAATCTTTTCCTAGCTATAATTTAATTTTACGACTGAGAGAATGACAGAGCGTCTCTGTCAAATTTCCGCCTGAATTCTATTATACAGAAGGATGGCTTTTTTAAAAAAGAGCTTTCCTTATATGCTTGGTGGTATTAAGGTAGATAAATCTGTTGTTGGTGAGTGTTCTCACTATGCAGCATTCTTTCCAATCCACTGCTGTAAACAAGCATCAGCACGAAACTGAGGAAAGGGTCTATAAATATTAATGTGGTCAATGGATAAAACGTGGTGTGTGCTGTAGGGCAGTAGTTCTCACATGGTGGGTCGCTGAACGGGTTGTGGACAGCAGGGAAAGAACAATAATAAATGTGAATAACAAATCATATAATTATGCATATTAAAGACTGAAAAAAATACAGGTTTATCAACAATACACTACCGTTCAAAAGTTTGAGGTCAGTATGATTAGACATTTTTGGGATGGGTGCATTAAATTCATTAAATGTGTCAGTAAAGCTGTTATTTTACTTTCTATTTATCAAAGAATTTAAAATATGTGACCCTGGACCACAAAACCAGTCATAAGGGTCAATTTTTTGAAATTGAGATTTATACATAATATATATATAATATACATATTTGGCTGAGATACAACTATTTGAAAATCTGGAATCTGAGGGCGCAAAAAAATCTAAATATTGAGAAAATCGCCTTTAAAGTTGTCCAAATTAAGTTCTTAGCAATGCATATTACTCATCAAAAATTAAGTTTTGATATATTTACGGTAGGAAATTTACAAAATATCTTCATGGAACATGATCTTTACTTAATATCCTAATGATTTTTGGCATCAAAGAAAAATCGATAATTTTGACCCATACAATGTTTTTTTGGCTATTGCTACAAATATACCCCAGCGACTTAAGACTGGTTTTGTGGTCCAGGGTCACATATATATCACAGTTTTCCGCAAAAATATTAAGCAGCTCAACTGTTGATGATAATAAGAAATGTTTCTTGAGCAGCAAATCAGCATATTAGAATGATTTCTGAAGGATCATGTGACACTGAAGACTGGAGTGATGCTGAAAATTCAGCTTTGACAACACAGGAATAAATGACATTTTAAACTATATTCAAATAGAAAACAGTGATTTTAAATTGTAATAACATTTCACAATGTTACTGTTTTTACCATATTTTTTATGAAATAAATGAAGCCCATGGTCGTCATGAGATAACTGAATAGTAGTGTATAGGAGAAAACATTTCCATGTTTTTGTTGGCATCAGAGGCCTTGTCCCCAAAAACAAACGAATAAGTCTATGCAACGTAAAAGAAAAAAGATCTATACTACACGAATACAGAACCCTTGTCATTGGGCATATTCAGTTTATGGAAATATAAATACATATCAATATTGTATATTAAGGACATTTTGTTTACATTGGAACAATAAAAACTTATGGTCATCATTTAATAACCAGTGTGGGTCCTGAGGCAATACTACTTGAGAACCAGCGCTGTAATCAACTCAGAACTTTTGATTTTCCCTCCAAAAAAAAAAAAAAAACATGAGTGACTTGATTTTTGCTTAGAGCTGCACTTCCCTGAACATATCTCCCCTGAGAGAAATTGTCTCCCATCCCATCTGCTGGCCTCCATCAGAGTCCCAGCTTCACAGCTTTCTGCCGAGTGACATATACATCATATATCATTTTCCTCTGAAGGAGACATGCAAAGTGAAGTTTAATTAAAGAGCAGGGAGTACACGAAGCGAGCAGATTAGTGCATGGCATTAACCTTCTTACAGTTAAAATGGAATTGGTCAATTAGTGCCCCCTTCATTACCCTTACACACTCATGTACAGTACAGTCATAATTGACTTTACTTTATGTTTGGATTTTTACTTTATGTTAAGTTTGACATTCAAGATATTATTGAAGGATTTTTGAAGCTTGGTTTGGTTTAAAGTTTGGTTTAAAGGGGTCATATGATGTTGCTAAAAAGAACATTATTTTGTGTATTTGGTGTAATGAAATGTGTTTATGCGGTTTAAGGTTAAAAAAACACATTATTTTCCACATACTGTACATTATTGTTTCTCCTCTATGCCCCGCCTTTCTGAAACACGTCGATTTTTACAAAGCTCATCGGTCTGAAAAAGCGAGGTGTGCTCTGATTGGCCAGCTATCAGTGCGTTGTGATTGGCCAAATACCTCAAGCGTGTGACGGAAATATTATGCCCCTACCATATTGTGATGATGCCCTGTCAGGCCGGAGCGATGATTCAAAAACATGAAAACCCATTACAAACGAGGCATTTACTCTTAACTTTTATAAAGAATATCTCGTGGGATTTGAGACTTTAGTCTTTGCAACTTTACAGATCTTATTTATGCACCAAGAGCTTGTAACACTTGAAAGAGAAAGGAAAAATTGAAATCGCATCATATGACCCCTTTAAAAACAATTCAGTAGCACTGGGGAATATCACTGAATACAGTTTGTCTATGTTTATTTAAGTTATTGGTGTGTTTCAGACCTTTAAGAGAATGTGATATTTTGAATCCATTAGTGTTTCAGTATTAGAAGTAGAAGCTAAGAGCATACACTGCAGTAATCAAACGATATGTCAGATTTCTTCCACTGCAATAAAAATTAAATCTGTGTCTTGCCAGAGGCAAAGGAAGGATTAAAGTTGTCTGTAAACAGAGACTTTCTCTGCCTGAAGGGAAATATGTCAAATTAATGCTGTGTTTGCATCGAGCTGTCTGTGCTGACAGATTTGATTGACAGGACGATGTGCTGCTCCTTCCAACCTTATCTGTTACTTTTCAGAGTTCAGTCTTGCCGAGTTAAGCGTTCTTCTAACATACAATCAAAAAGGCCTGACATGCAGCTTAGTCAGACTGTAAACCACCATGCTGTACTTGTGAATAAACATATGAGAGAAAAATTAATTTAAAACACATTCTCCTCTCAGACTTAATCTTATTTAACAAAACAAAATAAACCAGAGAAACTGACAAAATTTAAAAATTAAAATCTGTGTCTTACCAGAGGCAAAGGAAGGATTAAAGTTGTCTGTAAACAGAGACTTTCTGTTTACAGCTGTTTATAGCATTTTCATACGTGTGTTTGTTTTAAATCAAATAAATTGCATATACAACATACACAATTGCAGACACCACTGAAAAAAAAACTCACTTAAATTCTCACTTATAAATGTTCAGGTCATATTTCTATTTATATATAATATAATGTATACATATAATGTATACATTATATACACACACACATGTACCAACTTGCCTATATACATATATATTAACTATTTTTAATTTTGGTAAGTAAATTTGTAAGTAAATTTGTCACCTATGCTGACAAATTGGAAAGTAATGCACTTAATTGTTGTGAAAATAGACAACCCAAAAATGTTAAATGTTGATGTTAATTAGTAGTGCTAAAATAAGTTTCTTTCTGCAAAATGTAATTCACTTTTTTTTTTTTCACTTTTTTTGGAGGATGAAATTCGACCCAAACATGTCTTGGGAGTTTTATGAGCAAAAAATCAATTCATTTCAATGTAATATTCTGATAGATTCTGATGGGGCTGAAGTGAAATTTAAGCCTCACCTTCATGATGTTCTCCTGAGTGGCAGAGCCTGGCATAACAGCTTTTAAGTTCCTTCAGACTTCAAGAATCATGGAAAACGAGACGCTAGTGCATTTCATCATCGCCGTCTCCTTGGTAACGTGTCCCGCTCAGCCTCTCTCTTACGCTCATCACTGTAATGGATGTGCAAGTCCACAGAATGATATAGTGGGTGATAGATAGTGTGCCTTTTGTTTTAGCACCCTGAGCTCACGCATGCTTCCACTGGCTGTGTGGCTTCCTCGCCTCAACTCCATAGTGATGGAGACAGAGAAAGAGAGAGGAGGAGAGAGAGAAAGACACGGTCCACTCCCTCTCTCGAAACATCCAATGCTGGGCTAACACAGAACAATCCCCCTCCCTTCTGCATCTTTCTCACCTGCCCTGTGAAGCAAAACTCTCCCGGCAGAGTGGCTTCAGCAGAAGAAAGACAAGGGGGAAAACCTGTTATAAAATGCAACCTTCTGACTCCAAGCATCTCTAAGATATTGTTTCTTTTCCTTCCAGCACGACAGAGGGAAGTTCAGTGCAAGCATAAATGAGCTTGACACGTTCACCCTATGAATAATTCAGCATCGTTACAACTGGCTGGCCAGCTCCTGAACTAATCTATCAAGTAAGTTGTTTATTAGAGTCTCCGGTATGCAACTCAGGCAATCTCAGAATCTGAAGTACCTTCCCATAGGAAGGAAAAACCCCAGAAGAGATCTTATTAATACCTGTCTTCTCTCAGACAACCAATTACATTCAATGGAAAGCAAACTGAGACTTTTGCTGAAGTCTCCTGATTCTCAGATTGTTCTCAAGAGAAAAAGATCCCAGTAATAAGGTGTTCCCGAATAGATGTCAATTATGTTTCAAACTGAGCTTACTGGGAAAACACAAAAGGTCAGAGAGCTCACGTACTTCTCATCAAAGACCAATTATCCAGAC